GCCGACCCCATCAGTGGCTTCTGCGGGTGCCCCCCCCCCCCGAGATTCAGGAGGTACCAGTCACCCAGGGTAGAGGCAATATCTTTTATTAGACCAACTAGATAGTTGCAAGAGAAAAAAGTCTTTATTTGCAATTTTTTAGGCTCACATGCCCTTGCTCAGGCAAAGGAGAATGCAGAAATTGCAAAATTTCCCTCCAGGTAGCTATGAAACTTCACGTTACACAGGAGAGCTGGAGGGTAGTATAAGTTCATAAAATGAACTTTCCCCCACTTTTCTGCCCTTTGTCTTCCTAATTTCCAGCTATTTCCTTTTTCGCAGACAGCATCTTTTTTACCTTAAATTACCACCAATATAGAGTCCCCCTTACTCACCTTTGACTTTCCTTCCCCCTGCTTTTTACACCCCTCCCTTCCCTGCTTTACCTTTTGTTTTTCTAATTTATACCTATTTATATTCTCACTGACATTCTGTCACACTTTCAGGTTTTCTTATTCCTTGGAGTCTCAGAACAGCAGAGACTCCGTATGCCTGAAGAAGGGTGACTGTGCCTGAAAGCTTGCTAAAAACTTTTTCCCAAATGCTCAGTTGGTTTAATGAAAGATATCACATCTACTCAAAGAACCTTGCCTGCCCATGTTTTTAGACCAACATGGCTACAACCAAAAAACCCAGTAAAATCAACCTATTCACCCAGGAAAACTTATATCACCCTCCAGCTCTCCTGTGCAATATAAAGTTGAATTTCTGTCTGGGACAAATTTTGCAATCTTTGCATTCTCCTTTGCTTGAGGAAGGGTGCATGAGCCCAGAAGCTTGCAAATAAAGATATTTTTTCGCAACTATCTTTAGGCAACCCCTAGCACATGTGCCAAAGGGTGGCACCTGAAGACATTTTGCTTGGTGCATGCACCTTGGGACAGAGAGCAGGGAAGTGGTTGGGGCTACACTGCCACAACAAGGATTGAGCTCCTCTCAGCTCCCCCTGCCACTGACCCCTGGCACACCAAGATTTACAAGTCAAGGTTGTGGGTGCTTTTGGCACTCTGCTCAAAAATGTTGCTGACCCCAGATCTAGTTGGTCAAATAAAAGATATCACCTCTACCACAATGACTACAAAACATGCAATAATTTTTAAGGTAGCTAATTGATGCAGCCTATGCAAAACTTAAGTCACTCTTAGGGTGTCATAAGTGACTTTCAGGTTTGCTATTAGCACTTCCTTATGAATGCTTGCCTCAAGATAAAGAAATGCTTCAACTTTGATGGCCCAGTTCTCACTCACTGGCAACTTACAGTGAGCAATATAAAGTAAATAATAAGAAGACTTATTTGCATATTTATTAGTATAGTTTTTCAGTGTACTATAATTTTTCAGCAAATACAATAATTTTGAGTTTCCAATATCATAATTTCTTATTTAAGACCTGGGAACACTGGGAGGTCTCCAAGCTGTGCCCGAGCTGCTTTGCTTTGCTTTGCTTTGTGTTGCTCATGAGCTTTGTTGCTCATGAGCAACACATTACCAAGAGCAGGCCTTCCCACTATCATGCCTCTTCTGAAAAGATAACAGGTCATTTTTCCCAAAAGCAGGGAAAGCAGGAATATCCCACCTACACCAGGATTCCACAGCGGTAGGCACTCAGCATCTCAGGGGTGGAGGCTCCCTTCACCATCTCCCTTCCCCCCCGCAAAAAAATAATCCAGATGGAACAAGTAATAAACCATACCCTCTTCACTCACAACATTTTAAGTGTGCTATCTGGCATCTTCCCTTCTGACACCACAAATGAGCTTTTGATTCAGGGTAAGCCTGGCCAGTTTCACACAAAAAATGTAAAGAGGACCCCATTGGCAAATGGGAATTATCTGACACTATATGAAAATGAAAGAAAATAAAAAATCTCCCTGTAGCCTTCAGTGCAGCCTTCACTGCTCAAAAATTATAATAAAGAGAATATTCCACATGAACAGAAGTAGTATTTCTTCTAGGCCCCTGCACAGCCATTGAGTTTCACCTTCCACCTTGTGTTGCTACAGGTTGTCTTTCCCATCAAACTTTGCCTTGACAGACTTACAACTTTGCACCTCAGTTGGTTGACATAGCTATCTGAAATATCACTGTATTTCACTGGGCCACGTACAGAGATATTTGTCACTTGATTGTGTTTCCAGCAGTTCCCAGAAGAGTTTCACATTATTACATGAAGATTCTTTTAAGTTAGTTGCTTTTGGTATGCTTGGGGGGAACACATATTTTGGAAGGATTGCTGGCAAAATAAATCTTGTGATTTATAGTGGACAGTACATTCAGAACGAAAAGACCAGAGAGTTTAAAAAGACATGCTTTCTAATGCAAATTTGAAATAAATAATATTCTGAAACCAATCTATCTGTTAAATAAATGTCTGTGTATTTATTGTCATTTACTAAACAGAATTGTCTAAAATTAAAGCTTATCTGACCATCATACTTGAGAAGAAACTCCTAAGCAACAACTACAGGGGTCAGTCCTTACACCCTGCCATTTGGATTTCTAGATGTAAGTCATCATTGAGTTCATCCCTACAAGGTTGCATGTAGTCCTCTGACAGTACACCAGAAATGACACTGGTACTGCCATGCCCTTAATTTAAGAGAAAGGGCAAGAAGAAATTTGTGAGCAGGAAAGTAAACTGCCACTGGTGGCCAAACAGAACTCGTGTGAGCCAGTTTCTCATCCATCCTTTTCCATCTGGCAGCAATGGTTTTTTTCATGTTTGTAACAGAGCATTTTGTTATGGAGATAAACGCAATATAAATTTAGCATTAGACTTATTTCCAGGAATAATCAGAAAGAAGGTTGGTTAAGAAAGAGGAAGCCATTATTTCAGCACAAGTCTTCAGTTAAAAAGTACATACGGTACAGACAAGACGTACAAAGTATTGTACAATACACTGAATTATGCTTTGTCGTTTCCTTTAAAACATCTGTTAATATTAACTACTTTTAAAAATAACTCCCTATCAGAGTTTAAATCCAAGATATCAGCAGAACATATCCAGAATTACTGTAAGAGTGGAGAAGCTACTTACAAAAATTACTGTGATTTTGCTAAGTGTCATTCAGGATATTCATAACAGGCGTCAGGCTGCTCATGACCTTCTGTTACTCTTAGGAATACAGAGCATGTCCTAAGGCCCATGGATTGAAGACAATATGAGAGGTAGTCAGGTCTGGATCAGGTGTGCTCTAACTCATGGGCGCAGTTTTGCAGTTTTGCAACACCATTGCTTCACGTGGCATGGGCAGTCTCTGTGTGTGGCACAGGACAGATTGGGAAGGGGTCAGGCAAGACAGCAGACCATAGGACAGGGAGCAGAAAGTGCAGCAGGAGATTGGGCAGGGAGCACAGATTAGGGAGCAGAAAGCAAAGCAGCAGATTGGGCAGAGGAAGAGGGTTGAAGGAGGGCATGGGGCTAATTTGTGGCAAGCCTGCCCAAAAGGTGGGCACCTGCTGCTCTAATTCACTCAGAGTGCTAGGAGGATTGGATGAGGGAGGAACTTGAGGGCTTTAATGCGCATTATCTTATTTTAATGTGCATTAAAGCAGCACTTAAAAACCTGTGCTTTTTACTTAATGCAGATTAAAATAGGCTAATGTACATTAAGCATCACTTAAAAACCATGCTCTTTAGTCCATGCACATTAAGCCAGGCTAATGTGCATTTTCCTAGTACCTCACGGGGCTCCTATACACATGCACAGAGGAAATGCAATGGAAATCCAGTATGCTGGAGCAGACTCAATTAATCGAGTTTGTTGGAGCCCAGAAATTGACATGCTCTGGCAGCCTTCTGCCTCATATGTATCAGCATTGCCATGTGTCCCCACAGTGAAAAAATGGCGGTAGGGCGCTTTGAAATAAAACACAATTGATGAGCTTTTGTTCAAAGCACCCCACTGCCATTTTTTCAGTGCAGTAACACGTGGCAATGCTGATACACATGGCACGTGGGTGCTTTTAGTTAGCACAGTTTGTTAATTAAAGCTTCTGGTGCCGTGCCACATCTGAAGAAGGTAGAATAATGCTCCATGTTCCTAGTACCTCACAATGAGGTAGATTTAATGCGCATTAACTAAAGCGCCTTAATGCACATGTAGATGCACCCTGGCAAGTGCGTGGGAGGGCCTCAGGGAGGAGAGGAGGATGTAGCCCTAGGGGGTCTGTCCTGAGGAGAAGGGGAAGGGCAGGGCAGAGAAGGGGGGCAGGACACGTGGAAAGAGGGACTGGAGGAAGCCCAAGGGCAGATGAAGAGGGGAGAGAGAAGGGAGGGTAAGCCTCCAGACAGGCCATCCGGGCAGCGGGGAGGCTGCGGAGGGCGAGGAGCAGGCAGAGGAGCCCAAAAGGGCAGCGCAGCGCGAGACGGCTAACACCAGGCCCGCTCAGCACCACGAACAGAGGAGGGGGCGGGACAGCAGGGCGAGACACGCCCACTTTAGGTTCGGGGGCGGGGCCGCTCCTCGGGAAAGGCGGGGGAGCGGGGCGGCCTCCGTTCGAGCGTGGGGAAATTTGCCCCTCGCCAGCGCCTGTAGGGAAGGGGCGTGGCCTGGACTGTTCCACGCCTCTCATTGGCGGAGCGGGCCGGCGGGCGCGGGAAAGTTCCGCAGTCTAACGCTCTCTGGCATGTTCTGCGAACGGGCGGTCGAGCTAGTCCGGGAGCTGCGGCGCGCCACGGACGGCAGCCTGCCCGTCTTCAGCGTGAGCCCCGCCCCGCCCCGCCCCGGGTGTGCGACAGGGAGCGGGCGGAACGGCCCTGCTGCCCCCGTAGGCGGCTCCGGCCTAGGTGGCTTCCTCGTGGTCTGTGTTGTCAGGGTTGGCAGTAGTGTGTACAGCTTAGATGATGGTTGTATGGGGGAAGGGCGGTTGGATGGGGCTGACGCTGCCTCAGGCAGGGGGTTGGATGAGATGCCCTCTGAGGGTACCTTTTAGTCCTACTTCTGGGCAATTCTTAGACTCCTGCCCCAGACCTCCTGTGCCAATGTCAGGGTTTTACGTCTTGTCACTTCTCTCTTTTCACAAAAAAAGAGGCAGGCTGCAGCAACCTAGCATCTTTTAGAGCAGAGTCATAGAGAAGTATGGCTGGAAGGGACACCTGGAGGTCAACTAGTCCAGCTGCCTACCTGAAGCAGGATCAGCAATGTCCAAACCATCCCGTTCAAACCATAATCTAAACTGTACATAAGACCGTTGTCAGATCTGGCCCAACATAGATCTGACATCCCAACCTGCCACAAGTAAAACAGGGGAGCCACAGTGGCCAACATCCTGCCTCTACGAAATGTTGTCAGTGTATGCTCAAGAGGTGCTGGGTAGGACCATGCCCCCTGCTGCAGGGGAAGGCAAAAGCTCCACAACCCATGCTGCTGTGATCCTGGGGTAAAAATCCTTCCTGCCCCCAATTATGGTGATCAGGCTGTTAATTTGTCAGTTACAAGTACATGTGGCCTGTGAGTAGTTAAAGTTTGTCTTGTGAGGGCTTCTCAGTGTTGCTGCTGCTGGAGATGCTGCATTGTTGTGGCTGTCCTTCCTCCCTCCACAGGCGCAGTCCTTTGCCCACTGCCAAATTCTGGTTCTTCAGTCACTTTTGGCTGGATGGTGTAAACCATCCAGCATAACAGTATAGGAAGGATTGTGCCCAAACATCTACCTTGCCTGTTTTCTCATCAGCCTTTCAAGATTTTAATTGTTTCAGATGATACTGGCTCAGGTTATGTCACTTTAAGTCTCTCCAGAGTTGGAGGAGATCAGGACCCTTCTGGAACTGAAGTCTCTTGTTTGTTTGGGTTTTTTTTTAAGCATTTTATTTTAGTTTTCAGGTTAACCTGTCTATGAAAGAGCACAGTGGATATAATCTATATGATCAAAACTGCTTGTTATGTCAGAACATCTGCTGATGCCCTGCTTTTTGTGTTGCAGGAGGATGGGATCCGACAAGTTCTTGAGGAGATGAAAGCTTTATATGAACAGAACCAGGCTGATGTGTAAGTGCAGTTGCCTGGGTAGACAGCTGTCTGCCCAGAGAAAAAAGGAGATGCAGGCATTTAATTTAGAAATGCCATAAAAGAGCATCTTTGTTTTGTCATATGCATTAAAGGAGACCTACAGAGGTTATTTGAGTTTGTTCTTCTTTTGTGATTTCTAAATATGTTTTTAAAGGTTCTTAAAATGCAACATACAAAAACAAAACAATATGCAAGTGGCAGGAACGATCATTCTTTACTGTCACGATGGAGCCTTCTGGTGGCAACCCTGGAGTTGTAAATTAGAAACCCCTTGTTTAACTGAAGGGACCAGGAGTCTAATCCTAAACGACTGGTTTAATGGGTTAATCAGAGAGTGTTGCTCAAAATAACACTTTAAAAATAGCTTGACATGGTGTGGATTAAAATATCTCCCATGCTGTCCTGTCTATCAGTGTGAAACCCACTTGTTTGGTCATCTGTAGAGGAGTTACTCAGTTGTGCAAGTCCACGTAGGCATGGAAAGGAGCCTCCCCCAATACAGGAAAGAAGCTGTTTTGTAGAGTATCGCCCTTCACAGAAAGATGCAGTGTTTTACTTGTATTTAAAATATCTCTGAAATTCAGGCAAGGTATGTATCAGGTTGAAAAGCAGAGTGGTCTGTTAATTATTGGGCAGTTCTTTTTTTGTGAATATTTTCAGAGAGATAAAAATCTCCCAATGCAGGTAAAACTAGTTTTGAGAACATACAAAACTGCAAACTGGTTGACAGGGTCAAGAGAAGCTGATCCCTCATATTTACTTGCAGGTTCAAAAGTGTGAGGGGGAAAAAAGAATGTGTACCAAAAGAAAAATTGCAGCAGTCTAATATGTTCAACATCTTCATCAGTGACTTGGATGAGGGGGTAAAAAGCACCTTGTTCAAATTTGCTGATGACACTAAGATGTGGGCATGCTAGACGGGAGGAATAGGCTGCAGTAGGACCTAGACAGGTTACAGGGGGGGGTGGATGAGAACAGGATGGGTTTTAACACTGACAAGTGCAAGGTGATGCACCTGGGGAGGAAGAACCAGCAGCATACCTACAGGCTGGGGAACTCCCTTCTCGGCAGTGCAGAGGCAGAAAAGGATCTTGGAGTCATCACTGATGCCAAGATGAACATGGGCCAGCAGTGTGGGGATGCAGTCAGGAAGGCCAACTGCACCTTGTCATGCATCCACAGATGCATCTCAAGCAGATTCGAGGTGATCCTCCCCCTCTATGCGGCACTGGTCAGGCTGCAGCTGGAGTACTGCGTCCAGTTCTGGGCGCCGCGCTTCAGGAGGGATGTGGACAACATGGAGAGGGTCCAGAGGAGGGCCACTCGCATGATCAGGAGCAGCAGGGCAGGCCCTATGAGGAGAGGCTACGGGACCTGAACCTGTTCAGCCTCCACAAGAGAAGGCTGCGGGGGGATCTAGTGGCCTGTTACAAACTAGTCAGAGGGGACCAGCAGGCATTGTGGGAGTCCCTGTTCCCCCGAGCACTACCAGGAGTGACTAGGAATAATGGTCACAAGCTGGCAGAGGGTAGATTTAGGCTAGATATCAGGAGGCGCTACTTCACTGTCAGGACAGCTAGGATCTGGAACCAACTTCCAGGAGAAGTGGTGCTGGCTCCTACCCTGGGGGTCTTTAAGAGGAGGCTAGATGAACACCTTGCTGGGGTCATTTGACCCCAGTACTCTTTCCTGCCATAGCAGGGGGTCGGACTCAATGATCTGCTCAGGTCCCTTCCAACCCTACAAACTATGAAACTATGAACTGTAAGGATGAGGACTTGCTGTTTATTACCTGCTCCGTATCAACTGTCTCTTGCCTCGGGGTAGGTGAAAGTGAAACTGGTAGCTTAGCTCTGTTTTGGGGGGGGGGGGGTCTAAGCTGTACCACTTTCACTTTCACTTGCTGCAGTGTAAGAAATGCATAGCCAGTTACCACAGAACAGCTGATAAGTGAGTCCCTGCTCTGCCCTCCCATTAACTTGCTGTCTTGTTTTCTTCTCCATACAGAGAGATTCCGAATTCAAACTGCATCTGCATCTTGCATAAATATAGCTTGGAAGGGGTAAAGGGTCTAGAGAAGGAATATCTTTCTGACTAAATATGTTATCAATATAACAGGACATCCTTTTTTTGCCTTTAACCAGAAACGAAGCAAAATCGGGACGAGGCAACTTGATCTCAACAATCAAGTTTCGTCATTGTTCTCTCTTGCGTAATCGTCGATGCATTATTGCCTATCTGTAAGTTTCCTAGTGGCAGGCATCCTGCACAGTAACCACCTCTGACCAGAGTACAGTCTGCATATGGAATATCTAGGCAGCAGCAAACTGAAGAGATGTCACTAGCATTTTTTGTTTACAGTGTCTGGGAAGTTTTTGAGGCTTGATGTTCAGAGGTCTTTGAGCACTCATGACTCCACCTCACATCGCTGGGCCCTGTGTGTGTTTAAAATGGAGCATCCAGAATCAGGGGCCACTGTAAAATATTAGCCTCCATATTTTTTTCGCAGTACTTAAATATATTCAGGAGGGGGCATTATTTATCTAGATGGGTATCTGAGCACGCTACTAATGATGGTTAAAATGAATACAGGGATGTCTCTGCTTTCCCTTCCTCTGCCAAGGCTTTGTTTTTGTCCAAGTGTATGATTTTAGTGAGGCTGTGGAAGGAGTAACTAAGTTCTGCAGTTCATTGTGAAGATCCAAAGCTAGTGTCAGTCAGAAGTGGAGTTCCCATTCTTTGTAAGGTTAGTGTCGCCTTGTCATGAACGGCGTGCATCTCATGTCTTGTGAACTCTTCCAGGTATGACCGGCTGCTTCGGATCCGAGCGCTTCGGTGGGAATATGGCAGCGTCTTGCCAAATGCCCTCCGATTCCATATGTCAGCAGAAGAAGTAAGCTGGCTTGGTTGTAAACTTTGACTTATGATTAACAGACTCAAAACGGAATGGAGGTTTTCTTGGGAGGATTTGGGAGGTTGTGGAAATTATTTATTTTCTCTGCCAAATCTAAATGCTTTAAATAGCAGTCTGTGAATACATGTGCTCTCTGCTGCTCTCAGGGCTCAATATCCAGCTGTTGTGTGCTTGGTAACTTACAGGTAGTGCTCAGCACCACTCAGGGTCCTCCAATTCCATAAAACCTGTCCTACTGTTAGCAGTAGCCACAGGTAGCATGTCTCTGCATAGTAATCTCAGGTGCCTTTAACAGCAGGTGATTGTCCAACAGAGCCATTAATGCTGTTACCATTGAATAGCCTGGGATGAATCTGAATTATATTGGGTCTAGCAGGTTGGCTTTGCATAATTGAGTTTATACTTGCCCCTGACTTCCCCAGCCTCTTGCTGAGAAAACAAAGGGTGAACAATGAGCAGTGATAATAGATGACACCCAATTCATCAGGGGCAGGCAGCTTTGTTCTTGCTTGTGCTATTGTATGTTTGAAGAGGGAGGAGACTCTTACTGAATGAGGCACTTTCTCTTTTGCTTTGACATATAGTCGGAAGACTTAATTTGAAACTGTTTGACTAACCAGAATGGCAGGAGTTTCCTATTTGCAGGTTCTGTGCAGAGCCTGCATTGGATATCCAGTATTTTCAATGGCGTGCTGAATTTAGGGATTCAACATGGGCTCTGGGTGGTAGATACAGGGTGCATCTACATATGCAAATAATCCTTGAGCAGTTTAGAGTAAACTGTCCCAGGCACACATCTACATGTGCAGGGATGCAGGAGCAGATTTGTTGCTCCTAGCGGCAGACTGCCCCCTGCAGCTCTTCACCAGGCCCCTGCATTAGCCAAGGGCAGCTCTAGGCTCCCCCTAGCTTCTAGCCCAGGGGCCAAGAGACGACTGTCTCCTGGCAGGGGCTGGGACATTGCTCTCTGCCTCTAAGAGCTGTCTGCTGTCGGGCGGGCTCTGTTACCAGAGCCCAGGTGGGGACAATGCCCCCTGCCCCAGCAACAGGGAGCTCCTAGCCCTCACTCTGCAGTTGTGGGGCCTGAGCTGGGAGCTCCTTCTCTCCCCAGTGCTGGCTCCGCTGTTGTGGGGCTGGGCTGGGAGAGAAGGATCTCCCACCTGGGCCCTGAGAGAAGGATTGTCCCCACCTGGGCCCTGGTGACAGAGCCCACCACAGCAGCAGGCAGCTCCTGGGGGCAGGGAGCAGTCTCTTGCCCCTTGCTGCCTAGCTGACCAGGAGCACATTTGTTCTTGGTTAGGCATCTACACATGCACTACTGTGCAGTAAATAATCTCAAGTAAATTTGCTACTTGCATTTGTAGGTAGCAGGTTTACTTTCATTTAGACCCAATTACTGTGCAGTAAGTGTTTGCACACGTAGATGGTGATGCTTACTGCACATCTGTAATTACTTCTTATCTTGAGTAAAACATCTTGTGTAGACGCGCCCACAGGCTACAGGGCAGGAAAGCATTATTTGCACTTGTAAAATGGTTATAAGACATCAATCCCTGCCTGTTTCGCTGAATCCTGCCTATTGTAACCTCATGCGAACACTGAGCATTTAGAAATTAAAAGCTGGTTTCTGTATCCTGTGTCTAGTGTGGCTTTCATCTGTCACTGTATTTGATGAAAGTCTTTATAGATAATTACTCTGCAAATTTTTGTCAAGTCATCTAATTGCTCTTCAAGTGTGAATGCACTGAATTCCCTGAGGGAACAGGCAGATATAATTGTTACTTGTCAGAGTAGAGGAAATGGAGGTAGGGAGCATGAACACATGTCCCATTGTGTTTGGTTTGTCCATGTGAGTCTTTGCCAGTATTGCAGTAATACAAGCTATACAGTTTCAAACTTCCTGCACATTGCCTGCAAGCATGGCTTTTGAAAGCAAGTGATTGGTTCCATCAGATGTCCTTATATCTACAGATGGAGTGGTTCAATCGGTATAAAAAGTCTCTGGCTACCTACATGAGGTCTTTGGGAGGCGAAGAAGGTCTGGACCTTACACAGGACATGAAACCTCCCAAAAGCTTATACATTGAAGTAAGTATGAGTTTGGGATCATTCATTACTTTTTTGTGAAAACATGTATTGCTGAGACGGGATGACTGACTGAACCACAAAAATAATTTGTACCAGGCAACATCCACCTACAACTTGGCAGCTGAGGCAGAGTTTCAGCATACATAAGACACCAAGTTCTGCCCCGTCTGCTAATAAATACTACATCTGTGTGCTTAACAACCTTTTCCCCATCACCCCCAGCTCTGAGGACTTGAACTGCCCCTTCTGTAGGACATTCTGACATTTCTCCAGGAAGCAGGAGGAGTTTCTGATTCAAAAGTTAGAATTAATGGTTCTTATAAAATGAAATGCACAGGAGATTGGTTGGGACCAATTCAACTTTGGATTTCAACTTTCAGTTATTTAAATGAATGCATACATTTGAAATTGGTGTTCTGTTTGATTTATTTAAAAATATAGAACATCATGCAAATTGATGTTTTTTCAAGGCCAGTTATTGAAGTGCTCTGTCTGTGGAGATCAGAATGACATAAATTTGAGTTGAAATTTCCTACGGGTTTGTGTCAAATCACTGTTTTCTGGTGGGGGAAAGAGGAAATACTGTTAGAAAACTTTTGACCAGCCTCACTGGAATCCCTTCCCTTGGCTTTTTCCACCTTGACAGAAGACTCCAGACCCTCGGTTTCTTTCAGTAAATATTACATAAGTAGATGCAGAGAGAATTGGCATCAGCAGAGGAAGCAGAACAAGGGAGCTGACCCACAATTAAGCTGAAGCTGCTTCATTTTGTATTGTGTCCCTGTGCTAGGTTGGGATAAATGCCTCTGTATCTAACACTGTCCTGGTGACCTGTGCTGAGGAACTAGAAATTTAACAGTTTTATCCCTGGGTTCCTTGTGCTGTGAGATGTCCTTGTGCTCCTTCCTCCTTTTTAGGTTCGATGCTTGAAAGATTATGGAGAATTTGAGATTGAAGATGGCACAACGATTCTGCTGAAGAAGAACAGCCAGGTATCCTATGACAGGGGAGAAGGCCTATCATGGAGCCAGAATCAAAGCTTAGAGACATAGCAACTAGCTAGGGCAATCACCTGCCCTTGATGCTCTCCCTTTAATTCTTTTCCCATGGCTAGACCTATTTACTTCACCACAGCACAGAAGTACATGCAATGGGTAGTGATTTTTTTTTTTTTTTCTGGCAGGGTTGAGACATTAGTGGCTACATTTTAAGCTGCCACATGGCGCAGTGCTATGGGTCTGGTAAAAACATAACAACAGGGGCAAGGGCTCAGCTTCCTCACAAACCCTAGTGCCTCTCATCTGTGCTCCAGTAATGTGTGAGAAGATAAGGTTAAAGTTAAACGCATGGTTTCTACCTTGAACTCCAAACAAGCTTCTTTCTTTCTTTCTCTCTCAGCACTTTTTACCACGATGGAAGTGTGAACAGCTGATCAGACAAGGCATCCTGGAGCATGTTTTGTCCTAGCTGGACCCACCACCCATCTCTGAAAGGAGTCAGATGTGTTTTTAGCGTGATTTTTAACAGTGACAGCCATGTGTCTGCATTCTGCTTGGAAACTCACTCCAAAGTGCACCCCTCACCTGTTATTAGGAGATGTTCAGTATCTCTTTACAGAATATCCAAGCAGAAGTATTTTTCAGCATTTTAAACAGATGGTAACTGGTAACCTAGTGAACTTCAAGTCCAAGCGGTATCAGGAGCTTCATCTGCCCGCTTCCCCTGACTACTCTGATTTTTACAAATACATCGTCTTATGTTTTATCAAGTTCTGTGCAGTGGGGAAGCATGAAACTGGCTGACATGCCCAGTGGGGTCAAGTGCACAGTGAAGCATCTGAAAGCACCGAGAACAATTTCTCTAACATCTTCCAGAGTTACTGAGACTGACCTTTAAACTGCCTTTTACAGTAGAACAGATAGGATGTTTCTTGTAGACCGTTTTATGTTACATTGTAGCCATTAAAAATATACTTTCTACTAAATCTATTTGCCTCCAGGGTCTTTTGTGAGGAAGTCTCATCTGGGACTGTTGCAGGCATGCTGCTACAATCTGAATGGGAATGAACTCCTGGATACAAAGAGCTGGGACAGGTTCCTGGCCCAGGCTAAGACATCCTCAGAATCTGACTAGAACACCCCCTTCCTACCCTCTTACTATACAAAATGGTTGCCCAGCTCCAGTGTTTGGGATCCACAACCTTAGAATGAACCCTTTGGGCTTTTTTGTACTGGGTCGTCTCTGTGAGCTCCATGGCCCACAACCACCACAGCAGTCCCAAGCCCAGGGACTAGATTCCCTGGCTGCCATTGAGGCCTACAGGGTTCTATCCCTTACTTTTAAGAGTGGTTCTGGGCTGTCACATTGTGTTGCAGGGAGAGAGAGCCTGGCTCCAGCCATTCTAATTCTATTTACGGCTGTGCTGTCAGATCATTACCAGCTGCAAAGCAATCCCAGCAACTGCAATTAGCTATGCTGTTAGGCTGGAGAAGTGTGCCTGGGCATCAATTAGGTACAAGAAAAAATGTTCTGAGGCCAAGGGGCAAATGCAAGTTAATACACTGATTAAATAATGCATCTGAGGATCTGCCTTTGCACAGATCCGCTGCAGTCCTTTCACCTTATCAGTTGTTGAAGATGTACTACCTGGGATATGTACTCCATTTCTGATGTCAGGAATGGGTCTGGCCTATTGACCAAAATCAATCTCCACACACATCTCTTCTGGTGGTTACTGTTGGATACAAAGGCCAGTGGGCACAGGCCTAGCCCCAGAAGAGTATATTTATGGGAGTATATTTAGGTCCACTTTGTAGTGATAAAAGTTATAATTCAGAAATACTCTCTAATTTAGACAAGCAAGGAAGTGGGGAGTTGACAGGTAGTTCCTTAGTTATGGAGGAAGTAGAGATGAAAACAACAGGTGTGTCCATTGTCCCACAACTAAGGTGTTGTTTAACTCTTTCTCGTTCATGTATGCCTGTCTTTATTGCAAATTATCACTTTACATCTGATCTCCATCGACTGGAGGCCATCGGACAATGGGGAGTTTCATGGCTATTGTAAGCCTGATCTCATCCCCTTTTGGGGCACTGGTCTGCCATGCAGTGGAGGGAAGCACTGTTCCTACAGGAAGGTATGAGGCCGTGGGGTCACCTCCTCCTACCTCTCTAGCTTTGTCCCCATGGTTCTTGATTCCCAGCAATCCATGGATTGTAAGCAGAGGTGGGAATGGGAGCTGCTGGGGTTGTGAGACCAGAGGGGGCCCAAGAACAGGCTAACTGTGTATGAGATCCCTGGAAGCATGCCTCAGGTGAAAGGCATGACCTGAATTCCATTCAACAAAGGATTTCACCTGCATGAAGCCCAATAACTTGGGTTTGTCTGGAGGATTTCTTCCAGAAAAGCATCCTACCCCAATCTGAAGATAAACAAAGAACCTACTTTGTCCAGGGGCAACTTCCTCCAAAGGTCAGTCAACCTTGCTGGGGAAATCTTATTTCCAACCTGAATTTCTCTGCCTTCATTTTCCCTTGCTGCTTCTTGCAATGTCCTTTTGTGCTGGACTGAAGAGCCTCTTAATGCCAGACGTCTTCTTGAAGGCTACTCTGTACTGTGACATGGTTCCTCCCTGTCCACTCCATGATTGAGGTTCTTAAGTCTTATACTGGAAGCTGTTACTATCTTTCCCTTGCTTGCTTTCCATATACTCTGTCTCATTTGCCACCTTTTTAACTTAATTCCTTGGATTTTAATTCCTCCTTTCCCATCTAGTTGTTTTTACCAGCTCCTTTTTCTCTTTTGCTACCTTTCCCTCCCAGGATCACAGCTCTGTTCTTCCCACCTGCAATCTGCTTCCCCATTGCTGATCTGCATTCTGTGCTCTGCCCAGCAGCAAGTTTCTTCTGGGCCAATGGGTGGTTTATGCTCACACCCTGAGCCATGGGGCACCTGCAGAGCCATCTGGGTGTATTGCCAGGTGTAGTATGAAGTAGGGAGACAGATGTGGAGTGATACTGAGGTGTTGAAGAACTGAGAAACCAAACTGAAGAGTACCAGGCATACTTTGCCCTCTAAACAGAAGGGCAGGGTGCAAGAAACAACATGCCCTTGTGCCTGCATGCCAGCCCCAGCAGTGCCTTATAGCAGAGGAAGCAAATGGGGCCTGGAGTGATGTCTAAGGCAGTGGGCCTCTCCCAGCCACAGGTGAGGAAGGAAGACAGGACCAGGGCAGACTTTGGCAGCAGTGAGGAACTGGACATGACCCCTACCTTTGATGCTATGGGGCTTTATGAGGACCTGCTGTACAGCATCTATGCTTACAGTGCAAGGCTGGGTGAGGCAAGCCATGGCCCATCCCCTACCCCAGAGAAGCCAGTTCCCTGCCCACTTGAGGGTGGTTGGATTGGGGCATGTGCTTTGGGAGAGAAGGCAGAAATCTTTTCCTGTCTTTGGGTGGCTGGATGTCAGCTGGGGCCTCTCTGGTTGTGGGGGCAGGTCCCTTGTGTCTTGGGAGGATGGCTGGCTTGGGGTATTTTTCCTCTGCTCTAGCACCAGTGTCACACAACCCTGGGCAGCAGATGTGGCTGCATTTCTACTGGACCTCGCATAGCAGCAGGGATGGATGTCTCTCTGGTTGGATGTGATTTCTTTGTAGCAGGCCGCTCTGGAGAGAGAGGTCTCAGGGATGTGTTGCTGGCCTTGCAGAAAGCATGAATTCTGTTAGCAACCTGACTGGGTCCCTTCCATCAGCAAAGTCATTTTTTTTCTGATGTGGCAATTCCACTAGTTCCCAGGTTTTCCTTTTGAGGATCTCTAATTAAAAATAATAGGAATGGAAAACATTGTTTTGTGGGCCCCATGTGCTCATTGTTAATAGGGCATACACTCAGTTCTTTGTTCCACTGGTGCCTCTTAAGTTCCTACTCAAAGCAGTCTTCTACAAGGCTGTTTCTGAACCACAGCCTTTGCATAAAAGTGGAAATCTTCCCATTCTTCACTCATGTAGGCAGTCACAACCCTCAGCCTCCTTTCCATGTGTGCATCACTGTTCCTTGCTCTTCCTTTAGATATGAAGGACTCTTACTTCTTGGGTGTAGAGACCCCTCTCTGGGCCACAGTTTACAGAACTGCAGCCCCTGAACTTCTGGGCAGGATCTCCAACCTTTCAACATTGCAAAGTACCAAACCAAGGCACCCCAGGCAGCCCTGGGGTCTTGTATTCCTGAAACACCAAGAGGTTATCATTCACAAGATGGTGTGAGTGCTTATAATTGTATCCAGAAGGTTTAAATGTATTGTTCTGCTTTTTGCCTTTACAGTTTTTAAGTTTACCAATAATCTTTTTTCTTGGTAGTGATGAACTAACTCTGGAGTGAGTCAAGTGGCATTTTGTGGCCCTGGAGAGAAATGGAAGCATCACGCTCTGTGATCTGTACAACATGCTCACCATTGTGCAAGCTGCTATTTTCTGTAACACCAAGAGGAAGGTATGGTGGAAACAGTTGCAGGCATGATGCTTGCTTGTACATTGGTGGCTGTATTGTTTCCCTGCACATTCAGGGGAGATGGATTGTTAGTCATGGGAATTGAAGCAAGTCCTCCAGGCTCAAAGAACAACCACTGTACAAAACAATTAGCTTTTAATAAGAGAGGCATCATGGGGCTGAAGCCAGAGGGAATTCCACTCCAGCCTGAGGGATCCAGTTTCTTGTTGCTCTTGCCCAGATTCTTCCTATTTCTGCTCTCCATCCCCTTTCACACCTGCTGACTCTTGGTGACCCTATGTCATTGGTTACTGGTTCAGGGCACAGGCAAAATGAATTTGCACGGAAGAGGAAATGCCTTTGCTGGGTCTATACCAAGGAGGGGAGGGGAAGGGAGAAGCTGGCACCATTGAGCAGTCACCACCTGGTATACATGTGTGCAGGGTCCCTCTCCCAGCACAGCGCTGGCCCTCCCCATGCCTGACTTGACAACCATATGTGAAGATGCCCATTGTGGAACTCACCCGCAGCACAGGCACCTTGGAGAGGGTCTGCTCTGTACCGCAAGGACTTATGGTCCTTGTTTACTAGTGAGCTTTGCAGGTGTTCACATGAGGACTTACAGTCCCTGTGGCAGCATTAATTGAAGCTGGCACTGGGTCACTGCTTTCATGTTCCCCAGACTGCCTGCTGCCTCCTTCCTCCCAAAACTATAATTTTCAGGAGCAGCCAGTGAAGTGTCTTGTAGCCCCTCCAACATGTGTTTGTCTCTTAGATGCTTTGATAGAATTTTGTCAAGTGTGTCCAGCAAATCTGTATGGTGGGAACAGTATAATGATATCTGTACACAGCTAAAGCAAAATGCCTTGGCTCTGTACACAGGTGGACTGACTAACGGAGAAGATGAGAGAAGCCAATTTTACAGTTTCATCAGTGCCATGGGGACACACCACAGAAGATGAGAATTTGGGAGTTCAGATCCAGTGCCAGACAAGTGGATTGGACTCCGCTGGGCAAGGGTTTCTCCTGGGCCCCACAGGAGGGTTTTGGACAAAGTTGTGCTTTCACTTCTATACGTGAAAGAGACCCTTCTCCTTTTCACCCTCATTTATGAGGCTTCTAGAAGAAGCTGTGAGATGTACATTGAAAGTCTTGAGAATTCTGAGATCCATGACTTGCCTCTAACTTTCTGTGATGGACTTTGTGAATAGCATTGCCATCTACATCCTGTGCAATACTGAGCAGTACTACTCCACTCGCACAGTGTGCTGTGCGCCCAGATATGACTCTCATTCCTGCTCAAAGAGGTGTGATGACAGTTGCTTTCTAACTCAGTATACAGGTGGTGCACACCAGGCTTCTGAAAGACACAGTGGGCACATGTAGAATGGCTGTTCCTCAACCAAAATCCTGGTGGAAAAAGCTGTGTTGGTCTCAGTGAAAAGGCAGATACAGCAGTATACATGTGCCCCATTATTGCTGCACTGTTGTATGCTGCACTGTTGTATGCTGTGCTGTTGTATGCTGCACTTTCATCATATGCTCAATCTAAATTCTCCCTCTTGTTTTCAGTTGCTGGTATTATTTAAAGATGTGCTAAAGATAGTAGGCTTGGAGAGTTCCTTTTTGTTACTTCTCAGGCAGAGCTAAACAAACCCAAGAGAAAAGGAAAACCTTTTAACAGGACTGGCTCCGACTGCCCGCACCCTGTTTGGGGCCCTAACAACATAAACTCTTCAATTTTTTTCTGCCTTCATTTGAGTACCTAAAACATTTGTGTTTTGACTGATCAGATGTACTGGGCACCTCCAGCTTTATTTAATAGGCTCTGTGTGCTCAACACCATTGAAAAATTGGACCCCCACATCCTTCAGGTTGCCCAATTATTAGAACAAAAAACTCTGGTCACTATACCTAAAAGTGTGAATTTTTTTTTTTAATTACTTTTCATCACGTCTGGCTCAAACCACAGTTTCTTGCTTAACACATTTGGAGAAAAGAGTTAAATTTCAAGTCTGGAAAGTACTGGACTTCTAGCTGTAAGTGTGCAGCTTGAATGGGCGTTCAAGTCTTTGTGCTCACTTTCAACAGGTTTAACTAGCATTCTTCCTGTTGTACATATTACAGCAACAAAGATGGATAAATTCTCAGTAAAAATTATCTAACCAAAGAACTCCAAGGGATGGTAAGGGTGTAAAATTTAGCACCCCAGCACCTACCAGTTCTATCTGTGGGTTCCTGCAAAAGCTGAACTTGGACCCCACTCCATTTGATACCATGCTGAAGGGTCTTTTGTTCTTGTGCCATGTTTGTGTGCCCTTTTCATCTCTAGATGAGAACACATTAAGTCTCTTGAGTTCACCTTCAGCAAGAGTGGAGGAGAAATAGTGTTTTTCTGTCTCTTGAATGATTCTGAGAGTTCATAAGTCTTTCCCATTCCACATCAGGGTAGACCTGAGCCATCTCAGGGGTTATTTTTTTACTGATGAAATAAAGACTCGGATGCACTAGGCCACAGCCTACCCAACAGCCTGTAAGAGAGTTGATCTTGCATCATCCTTGTTCTGCCCAATTCTAACCTGGATGTGCACCACAGGATGGATTGGCTCCCCCTCCCTCCTGTCAGCACAATGTTTTTCACAGTGTGACAAAACCAAAGCCAAGTTGGATGTTGCAGCTTGGCCTGTTGCTGGGATATATAATCAGTGCTATCACAAGGCCAGTGCAGTATCCAGCGCTAGGCACTAGATGCCGCTCATAGGCTATAAATGATTTCTGAAGGGGAATGTTGTTCCAATCAGAGACTACCTGGATCTAATGGTACAGCTGGTACTGTTGAAGCTTTCATGATGGGAGCTTGGACCTAGGTTTAATCTCTTTACTATCAGTGCTTGTGGGGCTTTTGTTTAGTGCAGGGGCAGTGAGCTGAAGCATAAGCCACAGCTCCACTGTCTGGGATGCAAGTTGCTAAGCCTTAGGGAGCACTGGCTAGAACAAAAGCAGAGAGCAGCTGGAATGCCAACAGGCTGGGAACCTTCACCATGATGAGTGCTGGGCCTGGGAAGGCTCAGAGGTGCAGGGAAAATAGGAACGAGCCCCTGGAAGAAGGAGGTGATAGCAGGATCTGGATAAGGTGTCTAGAGGAGGTCTGTGACTGGGTTGGCTTGTCCTGCCTCTAGAAGAAGACTCTGTGATATGGAAGGGCAGCTTCCTGCAGCAGTGAGATGTCTTCTTCACTCACAATCCCTACCATGCTTTTCAGCTGGGTGGGTGGGTGAGACTACCCTTCCCATCAGGCTTAGCAGGCCATGGACACAAGGGGTGCTATACTCAGGAGCAGGAGCAGCCTCGAAGGTCCTGTTTGCCATGGACGGCAAGGTAGCTAATCCTGGGAAGGGAGGAAGTCTCTGGCCCAAGGGCAGTCAGTGGGTAAAGAGGCCCTGGCAGGAGGAAGCCACAGTACTTGCAGCCTCTTCCAAGCCAGAGCTGGGACAAGGAGGTTTCTGTTCAGGCTTGTTGGGAATGAGGAGCCTGGTCAGATTCTCCTGCAGGCAGAGCAGCACAAAAGTGCCCCAGCACCTTCACTGACCCTGTGGGGCACAGAATCCTGTTGATTCCTGCTGACTTTGTACCTGCATCAGGTTGCTTGTGGACACTGATCTCCTTTTTTCATTAGGTCTTCCTTGAGCTGTAAGACACTGTAGGAGGTGGCTCCATGGAGAAGTTACCATTAAAGGACATTGGGTGGTAGATTCACAGCATGTCAGGTACTCCATAGTAACTTTCCATGTGTACACTCTAACCCTGTGTTAAGTATGAGATGGAACACCCCCAGAGAAAGTAGGGTGGGCCATTGGCATGTACTATAGGATAAGGGCAACATCTTCATTTGCTTAACACACCCAAATGGCATTTACCCAGCTTTGTAATGGCTGATTTTTGGCAGTTGCACAGATTCTGATCTTATTCTATGTGCAGTATGGACATGGAAAATCCACAGGACTGCTTAAGATGTGAGGTACCCTGCTCCCTGACTAGTCAGGTGCATGGCTCTGTGTGCATGGACCTGAGCACAGGTCCTGAAATTCTGGCCTGGCACAAATGGAGAGGCTGAAGAAGACTTCAGGAAGCGGGAAACTCCGGTTCTAAGTCCTGCCCTACCCTTACCTAGAGAGGACTGGAATTTCTCTCTGACTTCTCAGCACATTGCTCCAGTCACCACAACAAAGGTCAGGCATTATCCAGTCCCAGCTCCAGCACTCCTCTTGAAGCTGACCCTCTGCACCTGGTATTTAACAGGCATTGGTGACAGAGGCTGGAAAGCAGCAGGTAACCTTCTGCCCCAGTGGGAGCAAGGGTCCAAGCTAGAGCCTAGGGCCCCTACCTTCCCCCACAACAGCATCCATTTAATCTTCTAGCTCAGTTTGGTCTTTCTGGGTGCACACATCTCCCTGGCTTGATTGCCCAGGAACCAGAATAAAAATGTAAAATAAGGTGAAATTCAGCTCCTGTGAAGTAGAGTGCCTGAAAGTGTCTTTGGGGTCAATTAATCTTCAGGTTTAAACCTCTCTTTCCTGTTGGAGCTGTTCCACTTCACCTATTCACTAGGCCCAAGACAAATGACAGTGATTTGGGAGATACAGTGCTCAGCTCGAATGCGAGTAACTTGCATCTCCCACATTAGGATACAGAGGACAGAATCTCTGCCCCAAATAAGCACTTGCACCTGGGTCTTATCAACAACCATGAGCACCACAGCAAGGTGTGAAACTGGCTGACATGCCCAGTAGTGTCAAGTACACAGTGAACCATCTGAAAGCAGAGAGAACAATTTCTCCTGCATCTTTCCAGAGTGATCCTAGGTTGTTATTGGGTATATAACACATATACTGAGACTTTAACTTTAAATTGCCTTTTAAAATAAGAATGAGAGGATGTTTCTTGTAAAGCAATTTCAAGTTATGTGGCATTCATTAAAAAAAGTTGCCTCCAGCATATTGTGAGAGGAAGTCTCATCTGGGACAGTTGCAGGCATACCACACTGATCTGAATGGGAATGAACTCCCATAGATACAAAGTGCTGGGACAAGTTTCTGGACTGAGCCAACACCTCAGAGTCTAACTAGAACACTCACTTCCCATTTCAGCCTCTAAACAGAACAGTTGTCCAGTTCTGGTGTCTGGATTCTACCATCCTAGAATGAGTCCTTCAGGCTCATCTTTGCTGGGACATCTGCCCCTCTGAGCACTCCTGCCCACCACCACCCCCTTCCTGCAGCAGTTGTGTGAGACTAAGCTTTCTGGCTGCCATTGAGGCTCATAGAGAGAAGCCTAAGCTTGGGCCTGATTTACTCCCATGGTATGAGCTACATAAAGGTGAAATAAGTATACTGGGGCTCATTTTCATACTCTAGTTGCCTACCAAGGGTTACCAGGGTCTTTATGGGCAAGAGAAGAGCTGGACTGTAAGCATAGGGGCCACTCATGGGACAACTATCCTTACTTGTCTCTTTACAAGAAAAAAAAACCAAACAAACCCCAAGAGATTCTTCCATTTCTCATCTCTGTCCTGCTCATCACCCCCCACAACTACACTATATGCAGTTGGTCCAGGATTTCACTAAGATATCTTTTATTTTCTTAGCTCTCCAACCTGGATTCTATCAGTGTGAGGGTCTGTACATCTTAGACAAAAGGGGAGCATTAAGGACAAAGTCTGGGCAGCAAGGAATGGAATCAAAACCAGGAACCAAATGTTAAAAATGCCATTTTCTTTGTTTATTAAAACATAATATCCCATTCCATGTGAGCTAGCATTAGAAGACCCCATCACCTCAGGGCTGCCTTTTCCAGCAGTACAGCCCCATAAGCACATCTGGGACTTAGGGAGGAATTGTAAATACTCCATATACAAAACAGTGCGTCCTAGTATGACAAGCTGCCAGTGTGCAGACAAGTTTGGTAGTGTGTGGGTAAGTATGGCCATCACCAGACACCCAACCTAGCCCTGAGACAGACCCACCAGACAGGGTGAACATCCATTACCTGAAATGGCCAAAGGCACTAAAGCTTTTTCTTTCCCACTTAGGAAAAGAAAATTCAGGATACACATGCTGGAAGGCCATGGTCTCGTTTACCAGCCTCACCCTCTTCCCTGAGAGTGCCCCTATCAGTAGGCAAATGGGGGAGTGATCCTGTGGCACCCCACAGCCCATCAGCAGGGAGAAGATTGCCCCATTATCAAGTTGCACTGGGCCCTGGGTGCAAGACTCAACACTCTTCATGGGGTCAGGACTGGGACCCCAATGCTGCCCACTTGGTCACGAGTGAAAACAAGGAGAGCAGGCAGCAGTGTGTCCCCGCTCTTGAATGTCCTTCTCCCTGAATTCAGCTCCAAGGCCAGCACCAATTCACACACTGAGAGAGGCTGGTGCAATCCGCCTGAGGAGCTGGTTTAGGGCCAGAAGCTTCTCTTCTAGAGCAAAATTCTTCTTCTCAGCACTTTTCTGCCTTTGCTCAGTCACCTGCAGAGCCTTCATCAGCTGTGCATTCTCCACATACAGGTCTTTGAGCAGGAGGTCACACTTAGCCTTCCTGTCAAACTGGAGCACAGAAGCAAGGGGTTTTACCTCAGCCACCATTCCGTGTCAAGAAGCCAGTCAAACATGCTCCCCACCTCTTCCCCCCTGCTAGCTGTGCTGCAGTGAGGCAACAATTCACTGGGGTGCTTGTCTTGTGTGGCAAAAGTAATATTTGTAGATCAGACTGAATCAAAAGTAACTGGAGCCACCTGTGATACCAGGGGAGATGCAAAGAAAGGTCTTCTGGAAGAAAATGGCCCATGAAAAGGAAAAGCAGCATTTGTAAGCTGCAATCTGCCCAGCTGCTGCAAGCAGGACCAGATTATGGGACAGGGCACCAGAGGGGCTGGTAGCCCAAACTCCACTAATGTTCCTCCCCAGACACCCTGCACTGAGGGTGGATGTTTCTCCCCTGCTGTGGGCAGGTGGAGTGCTGAAAGACCAAAATAAACCTGCCATCCAGAGCCGGGATAGGGATGCTCATTCCAACACCTCTCTGACTGCCACCATTGCCTAAAGGGTTGGAACAGCAGGCACAGTTCATGAACACTAGGGTCCTTGGCACTGCAGCCCACCCCAAAGTGGCCTTCCCAAGCCTCTACAGCCCAGTTCTAGAGTGTGCATGGTGCACAGACCAGGATAATTTTGCCTGTGTTGGTTCTTGGGGAGAGCTGTAAGATTGAATACAGCCACATCTGCAAACCCACCCACCCAGTGTGGGGTGAAGAGGGAAGGGGAAGGGAGACTCCTGCAGGGAAGATTCTGCCACAAGCTGATCTTGGAGGGGGAAGACCCGGGCCATTAGTGAGAATACCTCACAGGGGGCTGCCTGGTCACTAAATGGATGCTCCTGCCTGCCCCAGAAAGTTGTCAGCTAGTGCAAGATGCAGAGTGAGCAACATGGTCTTTTCACTGACCTGCTCCTTGAGCTGGGCCACCTTTTCCTGCAGCATTGCCTCTGCATTCCTCAGATCCTGCTCCAGCCCCTCTGTCCTTTCCTCTGTCACCCTGAGCATCTTCTCATGTTCCTCCTAGGACATGCAGTGACAAAAGCATATCTTAACTCTGTAACACTCAGCCCTCCCAGGCCTTGCTTAGGAACTGCTGCCTGAGCCCTGCACCAGGGGAGTATCTCGTTGCCATCTCCCCCTCTGCCTCCTAGATGAGACCTTTGTGACTGCAGGTGCTGATGCCCCCTCATCTCTGGTGTTCCCTCACCCTTCCAGCTCTGGTCTCCCACACTGACCAGTGTATTTCCCTGCTGTGTCCTGTCTAACCCCTAGGTAAGGGGCTCACGAGCAGAGGAGCTACCTTTGCATACATTGTACATATACAGTGCCTTGCATAAATGGGCCCTGATGGAGTGTCCTTCAGCTCTTCAGGAGGTATAAAGGGTAAAAATGCATAGAGGAACATCACAGATGTAGCTGAACATCCCTCACAACTGAATGGAGACCACTGAGAAGCTCCAAGGATCTTAGCCTTCAGTGTGGACCCTTTAAAGAAGTGGCAGGAAACGTACACATGCATCTTATAAAGCAACTGTTTTTGAGTGGAGAATGTTTCCCCCAGGATGAGAAACAGGACTTTGGGGGAGCTGTTCTTAAGCATCCCTTGGTTTCACTAGCTCTGCCTGCCAGGCTTTTTCTCTGGTTACCCTGCTGCTCCTTCAGTGCTCTGCTCATTTGATTTAACCAAGGTTTATAATGAGGATTGCAGTCATTGGCCTGCAAGAGGGCTCAAATTGGCGCCAAAACACAGGGGCCCACTTGTTTAGCAGCTTGGAACATCACATCTGCATCTCCTCTAAGAACCCCGCACTGGATAGGGAAACTGTTTTTGCTGCCTAGCACAAGCCAATGAGAAAGAAGCCTCAGCCAAATCTTCCAAACCAGAATGGAAATGAAGTACCCAGTCCAGACTGCAGGGAAACAAACATGCTGGAGTTTGCTTCCCTGCAGTCTGGAACAATGGAAAGGGCACCCTGGATCTAGATTGGGGATGCTGCATGCAGGGAAGAGTCAGACTTTGCACTGGCACAACGGACTGAAGACTGGAGTTAGCCTTATCACATCAATTGTGCTTTCCAGGTAATGCTGCCACCTTCCCTGGCTCTCACACAGAGCATTTCAGGCAAATACAGCATTCTTGGTACACAGCCAAGTGTGACCTGCCAGGTGCAACCTGGCCCATGTCATGGCAACCAGGATTACTGAGTCCCAGATTCTACTGGGCCCCACTGCCTCCAGCAGTGGAGACCTCTCTCTGCAATTCCTCCTCACCTGATGTATAGCCAGTTGCCTGCTTGCCTGCTCAGCCTGGAAGCTGAGGTCTTCTTGCAGCTGCTGAACCTTCTGCTGTTCTTCAGCCAATCTATTGTGGAGCTGGGTGAGATGCTCCTTAGGCACAACATTGCCCATCTGGCCCTTCAGCTGCTGCAGCTCCTGCAGGTGCTGAGAATGGGCCAGGTGGAGTCGTGTGTTGGCTTCTAACAACTGCAGCACAATAGAAACAGTGTGATAACCAGGTACCACCTCTGGCTGAAAACAGCAGCCTGAAGGAAAACAGTGGAGCTTTGTGGGGGGGCACCTGCTTCACGCTGAGCACTCCAGAGAAAGCTCAGTGACCATGCTAGGTTCCCTGGGCAATAAGGCACATTTTAAAAGTACCAGGATAAATTGCATTGATCAAAGAGATTAGGGGATGCTTTTTCCAGCTCTGCAAAGGTCAGCAAACAGAAAGACTAGCAAGGGCTCCTGGGGCACCCATTGGGTATTTCAGTGATATTATGCAGGCCACTGAAAGGGCATAAGTCATTTTCCTGAGTAAGATGTCAAATCCCAGAACCCAAGGTAACCTGTCCCACCACAAGCTGCAGCAAAGAACATGGTATCTCCAGGAAGGTGCTATTTAGCCCACGGAGGGAATGAGACCAGATTGCTCACACCCCCTCCCTCCAAGGAAAGTAACAGATAGCAGTGCACAACTACAGGATCAATCCCTTGGGCCTGGAAGTGAGAGGCAGTGGCAGCAGGGCCTGCCAAGACCAGAAAGGGGTCCACTTCGGAACTCTGCGATGGGTTAAATGCCTCTTAGCCTATGCCATGTGAAAGGGAGCCCAGGTGTGTGCTAGGAGCTGTGCACTCTAATTGAGCTATTCTGAGATTCACCAAGATTCCTTTATTTATGAGCCAAGACAGGCTGTGCGCACCCTGCTGGGGAGCTCCCAAGAGAAGAGCAGCTAATGGCTACCTCAGAGTTTACCCCACAGTAGACAGGACAGGGGGAAGGAATACCAGGCTATCCCTGTCTGTGGGCTATGTGCTTGTTTTTGCTTTTTCCCCCTTGTCTCCCACTCTGAGGTCTAACTCATCCAAATTCTAAACAACCTTTGGCTGGGATGTTTTTGGGGCTCAAGGTATCTCATACTATCCATGATCCCATCTCTGCTTGCACCACCAATATTCTTTTTGCTGTTTCTTGCCACCCAGAGGTGAAAGGAAGAAGCCTTGCCATCATCTAGAGTAGTGGTGCTCAACCTCTGGCCTGCACTGATCCCCATGGGTCCAGAAATTTGGCAGAGGGGAATGGTGCCAGGATTAATTATCATTCTCCTCCTGCCAAATTTCCAGAGCAGCGGGGAGCCCTCTGGGCCAGATAACATGGCTCTACCCTAGCACACAGGGTCATGCCAGCATTTGGCTGCATACAGGTGCATGGGATTGGGTTGGCACATGGCACATCTGCAAGCTGACCCCAGGCGTCAACTCTGCTCTTTCAGTTGCTGGCAGGAAGCAGCCATGGCCAAATAGCTAGATCCTTGCACCAAGGGCCCTCTGCCCACATCTAAGAACAGGCCAGCCACAGACGATACCTGATCCTGGCTTTCCTCAAGCTCCTTCCTCAACTGTGCTGTTGTAAGCCGCAGCATCTGGCGCTCCTGAGTCATGTGCTCCAGCTCAGCCTCCAGCTCTTGCACCTGGTTGACCTGTCAGGAGAAGCATATGCACAAAGAGAGGGAGCCTGTTAGGAGGAAGGGAGGGAGTCCTACAGCATTCACGTGTCAGCAAAGAGCCTGCAGAATGATAGATCCATCAGCCTGTCGCTTGGTGAGGTTGCTTAGAAGCCTGCTGAGTGGGTCTGTTAAGGCATTCAGCACTTCGGCCTAGCAGTGAATAACTCCCCCTTGACTAACAAGAATAGAATGGCTTGGCCCATTGTTTCCCAGTCCACAGGCAGAGCATAACACAGCACATACTCACAATAAATCCAATGAGCACGTGTGGCTCATAATGGTCATACTTCCTTCGTATCACATGCACACCTAATGCACGAATGTGGCTGGGGCTTTTCACTCCTCCCTAGCCTGTGGCACAACTTGGTGGCACCCTGTAGACATGATACACACCCCCCCTCCCTACACACACACCCACCCACCCCATCCAGGCAGGGTGCCTAGGGCTTGCCACCACAGAGAGGATGTTACCTTCTCCCTGGAGCTTCGGAGATCCTGCTCAAGCAGCTCCCTCTCCCTCTGCCACACCAACTGCTGCTGCCAATGCTCCTGCTCACATTTAGCAAATGCCTCCTGCAGTCGCTTGCCAACAGTGGCTTCGTCCTCTTTCTGGCTAGTCACATCAGCCAGCCTCTGGTTTAGTAACTGGATCATCTGGTGGTTGGCCTCATTCTGGTGGTGGAAAGCAGAGAGCTCACTGCTCAGCTGGCAGGTCCCGGCATTTAACTGGGAGATGTCCTGCTTGTACCTCTCATTCTGAGGGAAGAGACACGGGGAAACATGAGTCAGGCAGAGAGAATGATGGGGAAGCTTAGGGTGGATCTAGAGAAATATCCATGCGTCTGTATACAGACAAAAATCATCCCACATTTATTTGTATGCCACATACCCATGAAAGAGACAAAAGACATTCAGCTCATTTTGCGGAAGTAGAATGAAGGAAAGATTTTCAAGAGTAGGCCCTGCCACAGCAGCAGTTCAGTTAGGGCAAACCCACTGCCAGAAGGAGTAGAAGCAGAGTCTCATCCTTAGCATCATTGCCCCTTGACCTGCTGCTTGGCCAATGCAGCTACAGCTTTAACCCTGTCAGAGCTGCTACCAAATTGCCTCCATTCTGTTGAGAGCCAAATTGGCAGTACCTGTGAGAGGGTTAAACTCTGTTTGTCCTGGAGCAGGATGGGTAGGGAGAAGTGACGCCGACGCAGGTCTCTGGTTCTGTTTCATATGAGGTTCAGCCCAGGGGGAGCCAGTGCTGAGCACAGCACCCCCACTGCCATTCCAGCACAGAAGTCAGTTTCATCACTCAAGACACTCTAATTTTGGATGGCCAATTTTGGTGGGAAAGGTGCCTGTGGTATACAAATACATACTATACACCCCACGCCTGCCCCCAGTGCATCAGTGGAGCATTGTGTCCAGTTTTGGACACCATACTAAGAAAGTTTAGAGGAGAGTGACATGACAGACAGATCATTTAGAAAGTATGGCCTATGGAGAAAGGTAGAGGGGACTGGGATTGTTTGCATGTCTTCCAAGACATAAAGAGGCTGTTAGGAAGAGGGCAGGGATCAATTGTTCTCCATGGACAACAGTGGAGTGACAAGGAGAAAATAACTGAATGTAAAGTAAAAACGGATAAAAGGAAAATCTTTCCAAGCAGGTATTCAGGAGAGGGAGCTAAAGATAACAGTGACAGTATCATAGAGGAAGACCAGGTTATCGTTAAGTACACACATACCACATTTTTACATTACTGGTTAGTAGCTAGTTGCTTAGCCTTCTACCCACATAGTGGGTTTAAACCCAGAAGTCCCCAAATAAAGTGGTCCAAAATTTTTAAGAGTAATTTTAGAAGTTTCAAACTGAGGCATCTGAAGGGGGACCTGATTTATACAGCCAAATTTTTCAACAAAGCAGGATCTTTCATCCTCATGCAGATGTGCATGTATAGTCAAGATGAGAAAAGCCTCAGGATGTCCAACCCAGAGTTAGGAAAAGTTTTTCTACAAGTGCCAAGATGTTCAAACATTGCCCAAGGGCCTCGATTGCTGAATTCCAGTTTCAACACATGGGAAGTAAGGGTCTTAATCCCCTCACCTATGCTGAAGCCTCAGCCTAGCTGAACTGCATGCCAGGAGTCTTGCAACAAGCTTCCTTAACAGGAAGAACCAAGGATTTGCTCGTGGCAGTTTGCACATAATATCCAGCAGGCTCCTTTCCTGGCTCCTTCTGCATGGCTGAATCTTTCGGTGTGGCAGCTAACAGCACATCAGCTAATGTTAATGGGTTCTTACCAATTCAGTTAGCTCTTGTACTGAAGAGCATGCCTCCTCTTTTTCCCTTTGCAATTCCTCAATGAGTTTCCTGTTGGGAGCAGGGAAGAAATATCAGCTTTAGGGAAGAATGACAAGTCACAGAACTAATTTGTAAATACATCTTTTCCTGGTGCTGAAACCCCTCTTGCCCAACACAAGCTTAGATTAAAAGGAAAAAAGCAAAAAGCAAAAAAAAACCCCAACATATTTAGGCACTAGCTCAGGGGTGGCAATATAACGTTACACTGGCAATATAGGCCAAGGTTTTCAAAACTGACCATCAGGTTGGGTGCTGACAGTGACAAGTCTTAAAAGGTGCCTGTTCCCCAAGATGTGTTGAGCACTCACCCTTTGAACAGTCAGACTCCCTGGGGGAGGGAGGAGGCAATCCTGACTTCCTCTCAATCTCAGGCTCTTCTTTGATCCTGCAGCCATTTGCTGGTGCTGTGATTCTGTCAGTGGGGTTTGGCCAGAAGCCCAGATCCCCTGCTCCAGACACCAAATCCTGGCCCAAGGCACTCTACAGCATGTAGCCAGATGGAGCTTAACAGCTGAGCTTTCAGAACTACAGACAGCAACCAAAACCCTGAAGCCAATGTGACCTCCCAGGGGCAGCCTGCTACCACACTGGGTGCTGTCCTGCGCTTGCATTCCACTGGTGTTGGCACCAAGCTGCCCGATTCCAATGGATTTCTTTCCAGTCAATGTCCTCCAAGTTCTTCCATTTCCTACCCAAGCTTTAGTTCCAAATCATTCAAAGAACCACTTTTTGCAATGTTTGCTGGGGGTTTTCTTACCTGTGCTTATTGCTGGCTTCCTCCGCAGCCTGCACTTCTTGCTGGAGCCTCCCCAGTTTATTTTTCAGCAGGGCATTATTTTCCAAGACTTGATGCAGCTCAGCCCTGTATATGAAGACATGGCTATTCAGGGGCCTGCTATGGCCACTTGCTTACTTTTTGCACAGCTTACCTTGTTAACAAGGGGCAAAGAGCACTGCAGAAGTGTGGATGATATTCACCCACAAGCTTCTGCAGAACACTATGGGGGCAGGTCACAACCTTGCTCATTGAGGCGTGCACCAGTTTAGCCCTGAATGCATGGCCCTGGCCCAGGATATCCAGGGGTCAAAAAAATCCCATGGTTAAAAATAAATAAATAAATAAATAAAAGCAGAGTGGTGCACACAGCAACAGTGTGCACCGCCCAAAGCCAGAACCTGGCTGGCTGGACCTGCACTATACTGCCAGCCAGGCATCACACGGCAGGATCACCACTACTGTTGCCCCAGGAGGCCCCCCAAGACTACAGGTAAGGCTGCTGGAGCCAGCTTAGTGCCCCAACCTCTCCTACCCCACCTGGGGTAACTTGCCACATGCCAGAGTGCACATGTAATAGGTATTCCCCAGGGACAAGGCGCGCTGCTGCTAGTTGTCTCCAGGGAACCAAACATCCATGCACATCTGGACACGTCCTTTGTGTTTATCTTGTGAATCACATGTAGGTGTTTGCACACCTAACAGTGCTGATGCTGAGTGGTACAGTCTTTTTAAGGGTGTTGCGAGGTACATCACCCTGGTTGAGAATCACTGGACTAGGTGCTGTAACACTACAAAGATGGTGTCCATGCGAGAGTGCATGGATAGCAGGACAGCAACACCTGTCTTAGGTCCCCTCTACATGTTGCAGATATTGTGCAATTAACTAGTTAATTGTGAAATTACCATAAGAGCAGCTATCACACTATAAAAAAAGCTCCAAGTAGCTATAAAGTTAGAACTCAAAAATGTGTACTAACTTTATAGCTGGTTGCCATCGAGCTTTAAGTTCGCACATGAAGCAGGGTTTCCCCATGACCAGAAGCCTTGTCAGCAGATCAGGCTCCAAGCCACAGTGGTGCACCTTGACCAGAGTGGAAGCCCTGAGCCATGGGGATTGCAGCTGCTCTGATCCCCAAGGATGCAGGTGAGGGGGGTATGTAAAACCCCCAGCCCACCTGGGGCTCTCAGTCCGGTTCTTTACCTGCAATGGAGACAGAGAGACCTTGCAACTGATGGGGCTCCCAGCCCCAGCTACCTCATGTAGCTGGGACCAACAGCCCTGCAACTGATGGAGCTCCTGGTCTGGACTGCGCTTCATGCATAGCTAGGGCCAAGAGCCCCATCACTTGCAGGGCTCTTGGTTCCAGCTGCAAGTGGGCCCCATGGCTGGAAGCCCTCTCAGCTGGGAACTCCCTCAGTCAAGGGGGCTCCCAGGCATGGGAACCTGCTACTTGCCAGTGAAGGGGGAGCCCAGGATCAGACTCTCCCTGCACTGGCAATGTGGCACAATTGGATCTAATGCGAGATCCCGCAGTCGTACCTCCTGCCCTGTACATGGCATGGCAGGAGACGGTTGTGTGGACCATGCATTAGATCCAATCATGCCTTTACCTGCAAGTGTAGAGGGGGCCTTAAGTAACACAGGGACCTCCCTATCCTCATGCTTAAGTGGCCACTCTATCCTCCAGCACGTGAACGATCACTGGCACAAGTCTTCACATGTATCATAAGGAGCAAATTAAGTCACTTGAGAAAATAGCCTTAAGCAGCCACGGCAACACCTTACTATTAGCACTATGATGGAGCTCCTACTGATATCAGGACTGAGACTCTCAGTGACTACGATATACAGTCAGAGCTTGCCTTCCAGAGAGCCTACAATATCAATAGACAACCTTGTCTTCCATTTGAAGGTCTCAAAGCACTCTGCTAATAAGCATCTCTCCAGTCCCCATGGCAGTGGTTTATCATTTTAGTAGGAAGACCATGTTACAGATCACGCAATGGACTAAGACTTGGAAGATATGGGTGTACTTTTCTGCTCTGCCATCCACTCCCTCAGTGACCTCAGGCAAGACACTTACTCTCCAATATAAAAAAAAAATGGGAAAGCTGATTTACACCCCTCCTCCTACAACCTTAAACAAGCAAGACAAAGAACTAAGTACTCCCTGCTTTGCTTCTGGGTGATGCTAGAGCAGTGGGGCACCAGATACAGATGGGACATTCTAGCTGTAGCAGTAATGCAAATCCAGGTATTGCTACCACTATTTAGGGGGAAGAATACAGCTCAGGACTGAGGGACCCAGCTCCAAGTTTTGACCCTGAGATTACACTTCAGCCTCAGGGCCCCAGTGGGCTCTTGCTTGCCTGCTCTTTTCTAGAACAGACCCCCAAGTTCAAGAACTGGCTTTGTATAAAAGCCAGGCAGGCAGTTAGGAGCAAAAGGACTAACATAGCATGGGCAGAGTACAGGTCATGCACGTTAATCACATATGTGAGCAAGGACTAAGGAATAAGCTATTGTACAAAATGAGTCAATGGCTCAGGGACAGCAGCAGCCAGATGGGGGAAAGAGAGGGAGGAGATTAATATATTTGCCAACACCTTTGCTCTTTTACCAGCCAAATCCCTTTGCTGGTCAGTTAGGCCACACCTAAGCTGCAAAACCTCACTATGCCAGACTGTGTTGCCTCAACCACACTGTACAGCTCAGCACACACCACCTCCCTCACTAGGTGTGCCACAGTCAAGAGGTAGTGCCAATTGCCACATCACATTGCTTTGGCTAAAGAAGATAGCAAGCATGCAGAGCAGCAGGGCATAACTGAGAGCAGTATGGCTGGGCAAAGTAAGACTGAGGTCAAGGTACAACCTTGAAGACACTGGGTACATCTACACATGTTATTAAATGCACAGCAATAAACTCCAGAGCAGTCTGAGCTGGAGTCAACAGCTCCTAGGCACAGTGTCTATGCGTGTGCCTGGGACTGCATCAATTTGAGCCAGTGGAGCAGCCCTGGGCTGGCAGGGGCCATGGGTGAGTTAGCCCCAGGCTTGTGTCTGGAGGCACTGAGTGGCAGAGGGGCTGGCAGGAGCTGGAAGCCTGGACCCCAGGTGGCTGGGCTGATTGGGCACAATTTGTACCCAGTAGTCACCATCTACACATACATTTGATTGCACTTAATGACTCTGACATAAGATAGTACTGCTGAGGGCAATACTATCTTATGATGGAGTTAGTTTACTGCACCCTAATACTGGTGCACATGTAGATGGTGATGCTTTACTGTGGAGTGAATTAGTCAACTCCACAGTTAAGGGCAAGCACAGATGCAGCCATTAAGCACTCTGCTACTGTTAAAGTGAGTAGAGTCTCATAAAGGGAGGTGGGTTTACTGAAGGGGCAAGGCGATTTGGGTAAGAGCTGAACTTATCTGTCTTTCCCTCTTCTTGACATTTGGTGTTCTCCACAGAGCACTGCACTCCCTGCACAAGTGAGGCTGGGGGACATCCAACAGGATCATCAGACAAACATTCCAATTCCAGGAAGAAGGATGTTCACCTCAAGGTGAGTGCAGATTTTTTGCTTTCAAAACAGATGCAGACTGCAACATGGTCCTGACTTTCCTTGAAAATAAAAGGAAAGCTTCCTCCTACAACGTTTCCTGCACCCCTCTGTATCCCTCCCTCCTGTCCTCTGTTATGAGATCTTTAACAGAGAAGAGTAGTACTGATTTAGGATCCTTCCCACTCTCTCACAGAAAAAAGAAACTCAACCTCTGGAAGGGAAATAGCACCAGACCTTATTAGCTGTAGCTCATTTTTGTGCTGCATCTTCAGCTCTTCTTCTAGCTTATCCCTTTCTTGGGCCAGCCTGTGTCCAAGGTTGCAAATCTCTTTGGCATAGTATTGTTCCATTTCCGACCTCTCCTTCTCAAATCTCTTCTCAAGGTCCTGGCTTCCTGCAGACTTCTGGAGCTGGTATCTCAAACCATCAATTACCTCTTGATATTTTGCATTGAGTTCCTCTAGGTCACCTTTCTGCTCTTCTAACTCACTGATCTCAATCTTAAAGCTCTGCTCAGTGTCCTTCCTTTCCATCTCAAAGTTTCTTTTCATTAACTCGATTTCCCTCTCATAATAATTTCCCTGCAACAAAAACATTATTTTGATATCAGTCATATATTCCTGAGAGCAATTTCTGGCATTCAACTATGAAACAGAATGGCGTGTTTACAGCATCCTAGATAGGGGATGGTTTTCATGGTTCCGTCATCATATTTAACTCAGCTTAAAAACCTGTTCTAATGAAACAGGTCTCCAACATGCTAGAGTAATCCTTTTCTGGATATAAACACCCCCCCCCCCC